AAATCATATATTATTGAAGGATAACTAAACGCATATTCAATATTTTGAGTTTTATGCCTGTTCCTTGACAAACTGTATTTGTGCCAATGACTGCGCAGGGTGAAATGGATGACCGGAATTTGCGTCAACACCAGTGCAAAGAGAAAATATAAAACTCATTATGCGTGGGTAAATTCCCTGAAAACCTACATAATCCTGAGTGTGGATCATAAGGGATGTAGCAGACAAAATTATTTTTCACTTTTATTTAATATCAAAAATTTCGGATTGATTGGAGAGGTAGAAGTGCGTTAAATATCAAATATATTATAATATTTTTAGCAGACAGACAAACAAGCAACAAGGAGTGAAGTTAAAGAGAAGTGTTGTAAAATAGGAGATTAGGAGGGATTAAAGTTACACTTGAGAACTTGAGAGAATCAAGAATGAAGGTTGCAATTCTTTAAGATTTCAATTAGACTACGGTAGATATTAATTCATTAGCAATTCATCTCCAAGTCAAGCATCCAATTAATATATATGAATTAATAACAAATCAGACCACTAATATGAGTTGAACATGATGCACCAAAACCGATGAAAGCTAACGAGCGACTGACTTTGATGGTTGGTAATGTTGATGCCACTTCTGGTAATGTTGATGCTGCAATGGTCAGCAAGTACTGTAGTATATAATATTTCTGTCAGCAAGTATACTGTAGTATTACGGTTACAGTATTTACCAAAAGTATTATGGTAGTTTCACAAATTTATTCTAGAACAGAGTCTGAAATAGATGTGACATTTCCATTCTTATATGTAAACGGGATCAATAAAATACCTATCAAATCCATTCATTGTCATTCAATTTGGGATGTATGAATGACAAATTTACTTTCATTCCTATGATGCTCATTTTTACTGGCTGCAGCTGTAGAATTAAATTGAATTAAAATTAATTAATTAAAATTAAATTTATTTATTAATATACCACATGGTACCTACATGCTGTGGAATGAAATTATGTTTAAAAAATTTCTAATTAAAAGGTTTAAATTAAAAATTAATTTTTATTGAATTAAATTGAATTATTTAATATACCTCATGGTATATGCTTAAGTGCTCAATGATTTATATAATGCAATAATTGCCTCTTTTAAACAACAAACATTTTCTAAAAGACATGAGACATTCAAAAAGGGGAGACAAAATCATTCAGACTTTAAAGAGAAGTTATTAAGACAATATGGACACAATAGGGCAAAAACATGAAAAAATTCATATCTGGACATCTATCAATAGGTGTTTAAATTTTGAAACAACTTTCCATCATTAAATTCTCAGTGTGGAATGTGGATCAAATCTATTTATTGTGAATCAAACTTGACATTACCAAAACAAGGTGTGTTATACCATTTTGTCAAATGTTTACATGGAAGCACAATGTGATAATACACTGTGAAAGAACTGCATTTTATCCCATTTTTGGAAAAGTTGATAAAATTTTTGTATTTTAGAACAAATTCATTGCAAAAATATGTCAGTTACAGACAAATGACTAGTGAATGTAATCAAGGGAGGCATCATTGACACAGTATCTGATTTCTAACCATGCAAGATATCGGAAGCGCGGCAGTTTCTGAATAGCTCAGTGTATCACTAATTGTCAGTGTGGAGTAAGCAAGGTGTAACATGGTAGGCTTTTCGATCCATTTTCTTATGGAAATGTGAGAATATATTATGTGTCTGTATAGAATTCCACACTGCTTCTCTCTGCAGGTGCTTGATCTCCAGGTTACCAGGTAGCCAGCCATCTCCCACTTCACCACTTGCATAGAATATATCTACTCATTCAAGGATTCTACAGTTTAACCCTAAATGCCATGTGTTGTTGTGTCACGCTACAACCTTGGCTGCAAATATCTGCCCTTAATTCTGTTAAGTATTTTTAGGTCTTGTATTTTATATACGCTGTGATTATTTTACCAGCCATTAATATAGATTGTTTCCTTTCAAATGCAGTCTTCAAACGCACAATTGTGAACTCAAAACCATTTTCAAAAATTATGAGAATGAAAGGACTGAATTTGTGGCCTCAAGCAGAGCCATTACCATATACAACAACTCCAACCACTTGAACTTGTCAATGGTATCCATGGGGAGGAGACTGTAAGTCATTCATGTGTGCATGTGCCTGAGAACATGTGCATATTTATCGCTGGTACATATGCAGCTTCATTACTGGTGCATCTGCATCTATACGCTAGTTTCTTTCTCAAAGTTTCTTTGTTCCAATAGTTTTTTGATCTCACTATCTGTGAGTTTGTTGCCTGCCATTGAAAGAACTGCATGAAATGAAACGCTTTAGCGCAGCCAGATGCTTGAGTACATACCTCCTTACTTCCGTTGCTTGCTGAATACTGATGCCGTGAGTCTGACAAGGACATAACTCGCTGCCAACATGCGGATCCGCTCATTTGGTAGTAAAAGTTTATATGTAGTTTGCTAAATGATCTACCTTATCATTATAGACCAAAGTAGCTAAAATATTATTGATCCAACACCAAGAATAGATCTCAGTTGAAGAGTATCTTGTCAGACAAGGCTGTGAGGTTCGTGGTTATTTTTTTATGGAGGTTATTAGAAACAAAGGGTGCTTTCCCGCTAACCCTCCATAATTAGGGTTGAGGCTTAAAGCTGAAACTGTAGACTTGTAGCCGTTACCAGCTCACCCTATACCCGTGTCTGTATGCTGTATCTGTAATTAATCTTGAAGGTAAATTCACAACTAAAATTAGCCATGGGCTTAATGGGTTTTGTCATTTTCTCTTAAGATTTAGAAGCAATATAATATATACAATATATAATTTTCTGAAATCCTGTTAGGAAATTTTTAAAAATCTTCAGGAGAGTATGATTGCTTGCATTTATTTAAAAGTGCTATTTATTGGAATTGTTTTGACTCATATCTTCATGATATAAATATACTGCAAACATTTTTTTCCAGGGACCATAGAATATCTTGATCTAAATATTTAGGTTGAAGTCTTAATAGTTGCAATCTTTTCACCATGAAGAAAATGAACAACAGGCATGAATTACAGAGACAAATTGTTAACCCAGACCCAATGCAGCCCAAATATGATGTCTACGACCTCAGGCAGACCACCAAGAAGGCAGGCCCAGTTGATACAGACAATCCAAATTTAGAGCCTGTAAGACCCAGGAGATCTTTTCATAAAGGACCAGGTGAGACCAAATCAAGTTTTGAAATTTTAATGTGCTCTATTTGTGAATTGATTTCAATGGCATTAAAGTTGCAGCAATGCCAAAACCTCCCCAACAATATGAAATTATTTTTATGACATGTATCAATGATCTATTTGCTTGGGTTATAGCATCCTGTCTAACATCTTTTGCAAATTTGAGATTTTTTTTTCTAGCAGCTTATTGATGATTTTAACACTAAACTTGCTGTCCAGATGTGTTTTTTATCTTGAATTGAAGCTAATTGCTTTTCTATGGTTTAATTCAATCTAGGTCAGTTGTAAATTTCCAGAGTCTATGTTGATTTTTAACTACTTTACCTTTCAATTTTGCTACCACTTAGAACATTATTTTCACTCTTTGGTGACTGCCTTTCACATTAACTGTATTTTGCTGTTGTGGAATATTAAATATAAATAAATAAATATAAATAAATAAATATATTAAATATTAAATCTGCATCAATAATATCACTAATATCCACACAGTAGAGGAATTGATACATTCATGCCACTCTTCTCAGTGAGTTGTTTTTAATTTAAATATTTTCTATAGGCTTCTTGCAAACCCCACAGAGTGGGTCTACCTCAGCTATAATCAATCTCTAATTCATATTTTTTCCATCATTTATCTTCTACAGACATACGCACAAAGCATAGAAAAATCCTTGAAGAGAAGTTGAAGGAATTCATCAACCCAAACCTGGTCAAGAGACGCCAGGAAGTGAGACAAACTGTGAGTCCTGCAACGACCAGACTCCAGATTATTATTTCTGTACAAATGATTATTTTCTGAAACCTTAGTGGACACATGAGTACTTTTAGTACCTACATAGATTTTAGCACAAATTATCTATGGCCATTTTTTTGTGATCTCAAACAAATTTTATTTGCATGTTCATTTCATGGTGATTCTTGGAACATATGTCATCGTAATTTCATGTAAAGAAGTAGATCAATTTGACATCTGTTTTGTGGCTTCATGAAAGTTTTTACATGCTCAAATTATTATTTATGTGTTTTTACTTAATTTATTTAATTATAATAATTATTTGAGCCCATCCATGTCATGCAGACTGGTTCATCATCAACTTTCTATCTGGCCGAGCTGCCATCAGAATTTTTCAGTAACAGGAAAATTTTTCTTAGTAAACTAATATTTTGTCTTCTTCACATTATACTTTGACCGCAGTGTTATTGTCAATTTATCTAACACTGCTGTTATTAACACTGATGAAATAAGCCATCTGTTTTCATATACTAGTAATTTAATAAATTTCTTCACAGAATTCAGACAATCTTGGACATGTTTATCTCTACACACGTGTTTATATCAACTGTAACTGTGATAGTTTTACTTATTGAAATGCTATTTTTAAGTTATTAACCTGTTGGATGAAAACATGGTGGAATTTTTAGGTAGAATACAGAGGTGGCATAAGGGTGATAGTGTTTCAATCACGCTATATACATAAATGCTAAAATGATACATTTTTTTCTACCTAAAATATTTGCAAAATTTGCAAATTTGTGCGTGATGATGGCATTTGGTCCTAGCAATAAAGTGAAGGCCTTAAAGGCTTGTCACAAGAGGGCGAAGTTTTGAGTGGCATAGGGAACCCCAACCTCCACTTACCCAATTTGTTCCACTCACCCCCATTTCTCCCACTCACCCCATTTCTCCCACTCACCCCATTTCTCCCACTCACCCCATTTCTCCCACTCACCCCACTCAGGCGGGCGGGAGGAGGGCGTATGTGTTCTACCAGCTGTCCCACTCACCCCACTCAGGCGGGCAGGAGGGCGTATGTGTTCTACCAGCCAATATGTCCCACTCACCCCTCTCACCCCACTCACCCCACTCACCCCACTCAGGCGGGCAGGAGGGCGTATGTGTTCTACCAGCCAATATGTCCCACTCACCCCTCTCACCCCACTCACCCCACTCACCCCACTCAGGCGGGCAGGAGGGCGTATGTGTTCTACCAGCCAATATGTCCCACTCACCCCTCTCACCCCACTCACCCCACTCACCCCACTCAGGCGGGCAGGAGGGCGTATGTGTTCTACCAGCCAATATGTCCCACTCACCCCTCTCACCCCACTCACCCCACTCACCCCACTCAGGCGGGCAGGAGGGCGTATGTGTTCTACCAGCCAATATGTCCCACTCACCCCTCTCACCCCACTCACCCCACTCAGGCGGGCAGGAGGGCGTATGTGTTCTACCAGCCAATATGTCCCACTCACCCCTCTCACCCCACTCACCCCACTCAGGCGGGCAGGAGGGCGTATGTGTTCTACCAGCCAATATGTCCCACTCACCCCTCTCACCCCACTCACCCCTCTCACCCCACTCACCCCTCTCACCCCACTCAGGCGGGCAGGAGGGCGTATGTGTTCTACCAGCCAATATGTCCCACTCACCCCACTCACCCCTCTCACCCCTCTCACCCCACTCAGGCGGGCAGGAAGGCGTACGTGTTCTACCAGCGCGCAGGCGTGTCGCGCGTCGTGGCGGCCGCCCTCCACAACACTGTGCTGCTCGGCAGGGTCGTCAGAGGTCAGCTCGGCGCATCATATTATTAATACCTTCATTATTACTATATTGTATATTGCTTTCAATTAATAAATTTTATTACCATTATTTCTATATTAGCATCATTGCATTATTTAGATTTTATTATCATTATTCCTTCAGTTATAATGTTGAAAAGTTCACAGTTAATTTCTAAGTATAGACCGCTGGCATAAATAAATTCATTTCTTAATTCCCTTCAGCCTTCATTCATTGTAGTGCAAAATGAAAGCAACTTACTATTTGCGCTGAATCATTATGTTTATTATAGTGGAATAAAGAAATTGTCATGCAATCACCGTTGTTCTGAAAGCGGTAAATCAGTGTCCATTCATCATATTTTCATAATTAACGAGCTGCACATAGTAGCGAGGTCTAATTGTGGCGGATGGTATAGTTAGGGCTGGCTATATAATGGAATAAACCCAGGCTCTAAGTCGGCGATGGTTTACAATGGTTTATTTACACATGACGGACAATGAAGTATTAACAGGCATATGAATCAGTACACAAGGATTGAATAGGTTTGCCATGTGATATGGACGCTTGCTGGTGAATGAATGACATAAATGTGAAGAATGGACTAACATTAGTTACATTACTTACTAACTACAAGATACGGGACGATCTCGTATGTTACGGTCGGGCTTACATTAGTTTTCCCGGCACTAATTTTGATTCACGTTTTTCATTCTCATGTTTTTACCTATGATGTTCGTTCAATAATGAATTGTTCTAATGTTTACTAATTTATCATGCCTCATTTGCAGCGTTTTACCTGCCGCCCGAGCAGCTGCGGCCCTCCATGTTCCTGAAGAAGATCGAGAGGCCGACGCAGCGCCAGAAACTTGATAAAGACGCGCACAATATTCAAGATGGCGGGAACTTAAGTAGATGTTAATGTGAACAATTCTTCTTTGTTTTATTTGTATCCTTTAAACTTTAACAGCCTTCATGAAGCACCGGTGGTTATGGTGTATGTATATTAACACGGTTAGTAGGGTAGTCTCAACAAGCGCATTGCTGTAACTTCTGACGTCTCTCGGTGACGGGACTGAGGGCTGTGAGAAAATACATGACAAGGAATATCATTCTGATCGAATGAAATCCTTTAATTGTGTCTGGAATATTTTGGTTAATACGGGCGTATTAAGGGGTTAATTAGGTATTAATTATTCGGGTTAATTAGGTAAAAGCCGATGGTTCCAAAGAGACCGCAAGTATAACGACGATTTCGCCCGTTGCACAGAGATAAATGGAGCCTTCTAAGTCTTTGAGGTCCAGAGGAGGTAAATACCGCCGTGCTCATCAGAGTCGGTGAATTTTGGTCAAATGTAGAGGTTGGGACGTCAAGGTAGAAGCTGTAAACATTATATTTCTGAAAATAAATTCAAATTGTACGGACGTTCCATTGAACATCGTGAGTGCTGAGTGAATGTTGATGAGCGAGACAATCTGCCAATGTTCAAAAACTCAATTCATTATAGACTTCCTTAATGATGTCAAAATTAGCTCATGTAACGTGAAGCATGTCAATTTCTCACCTCGTACGTATCTAAATGTTTACCCCCGATGAAATTCCCTCTTGGACAGATTTTGAAATTATTTTAAAGATAGGAATCGGAGTCATGTTAGCGAGTTTGTTTGTTACTCCCGAGCTACTGGAGATCGGGACGCGAGCGTTTGTGATCTCTGAAAAAGTAAACGCCTGATAAAGTAAACGATTTGTTTCTCAAGCAGATTTAGGATTACAACGATCGAGTCTCCTGCTGGCTTAGTAGCAGCTTAGCATACTAGAGAATACGGTGCATCTGCACTCGACCAGCATAAAGTTTATCTTTAGACTCAGTTCCTGTCGAGTTAAATACTCGACGCTGAAGATAGACACTCGGCGAATCACTCACAACTTAAATAACAACCAATAAAATTTAACAAGTTGAGTGCTGCGCGACCCACCAGGGTTGCCATATGGCCTACAAACGTCGAAGTCCGCGGACAAAAAAGGCCTAAAAATCAATATTCATTAGCAAATTTGTAGGTTAAGTTCCAAAAATTCAATTTTTTTCGAATTTTAAAAAATTTAATAAGGATGTACCGCCATTATGAAATTTCTGCCGGCCAACGCATTAAAAAAACTTAATTGCTGAATTTGTCAGGAAAAAATACCCTACAACCCACCGGGGTCATTAGTCAAGTGTGCTACAACCCACCGGGTTGTAGGGTATTTTACAATTTGTCCCCCAAATATACCCTACAATACCCATTTGACAGACACAAACATACGCTGATATGATCGGTCGACTCAGAACAGACATTCGGGCTGAAAAATTATTCGAGAGTGGTTGGTTTTAAAGGCAACAGCGGTCCCCCGCGTCTTACTTAGGACCAAAACGATACAAATCGTGACTGGAAACGAATAATTTATTTTTGTATTAGTTGTAGTTCTGTAGCTATGGCTGCGAATAGCTTCTCGCCTCAAACAGTTTGAAAGCTTCGTGCAAGGTTAAGAAGGAAGGATTGTGCACCATAGGAAGCTCTCGGGAGACGATCGAAACACAATGCAGCTGTCGTCCGGTGCCATTCAGAACCAAGTGTCGTCTGCATTGTGTGCCCATGGATTACGGAAGCTCACAGGCATCGCATCTCTCGACGTCGAAAAGCTGAAAAGTTTTAACGCTCATTATCCAATATGAATTAACCAAATCAATAGTTGAACTTACCTCTTTTGGAGGATTCATATCACATAGCATAAATTTGCGAACGTTGATAGTCAAATCAGTCCTTAGTTTACTCAATAATATAAATGCAGGAGAGCCTGTTGACCGTTCAGTCCGGGTGTAAACTAACCTCGATTTGTTGTACAACGCCAGTTGATATGGCCTTCCGCCTGGTATCCTCATCGATGGAGGGTCTAATACATTCGTTAAGAGAATCCTCTCCTTCTTGAAGTAGGATTTATGCGTCATTTCCACGGAAATAGATCCTGCCGGCATGTCAGGAATTCAGGACGAAAACCTCAAATCCCAGAGCTGTAACTCTGGGCATCTTTTTTCCACATTGCGGCCCTCAAGTATCAGTTCGCGATAGACATCAGTAAACCTGCAGGTTATGGAGAAACACTTAACCATCCATAAATTTAGTTTAGTTGTAGTCTTGCGCCGACTTGACTACAGTAGTACTTATAGTCAAGTCTCAACTCTCAAAGTCTCGAGTGTGTACAGTGTAGTCTTGCGCCGCTTGAAGGCGGATGTGTGCTGCTGACCTCCGCTTACAACTTACGCTAGTCCAAACGTCTGATAACTTCGTGTTTGAAAACTATGACGCAAATCTTCATAAGCTAGTTCGGTTGGCTTAGTGGATTACGCCTAATGGATTCACCGACGTTAAATGCCGTGCTATTTAATATGACTGTGGCGACCGGTGCCGACTGTACCAAAACAGACTAGTCCATCTTTTTTTTGGTTCTGCCATCTTGGGCCGCCTTGAACGGCCATCTTGATTTGGAGAGAACTTGAATGGAGTTTACCTACGGCTGCTCACGTGGCTTGCTTGGCGTAAACTACGTCGATGTAAGCGTGTTTTTCGACCGGGGACTATATTGTGGTTTTTCGTTTCGGCATTCACTAAATTCAGCTTAAAGCTGACTATGGAAGAGCTGACTGTGCCTTAAATCTGACACAGGGCGACCGTTACTCTCCAGACACTAGGTACGCAAAAACCCGTTACTTACTGTCTCGAGATTACTGGAGTGGGCTTGTCGCGCAGCTTACTTGACGCCAACTACGTCGACGTGTATTTTAACTGGCAGGACCACATTGTGGGTTCGTTTCGGCATTCGCTAAACGCAGCTTTGAGCCGACTGTTGACGAGCGTCAGTGTTACTTATATGACCAAAGCTGAATCTGGCGACTATCCATGGCGCCGTTAGCTTACTCGGCTGAACGACTGCTGGTCCCCTGATCCATCTAGATTTACTCTTCGCGACGTCCCCCATGCCTCGCATGTCTTATCATGGATGCCGTGCTGGCAGAAATAGGCGTCCTGCGGCCACCTATTGAGGAGGGCGCGACAACGGTGCAATCGTTATCACTGGCAATAGGCCGTTGCTACGGCGGAAATTTATTTGCGACTCGACGCCTGCGGATGCTGCTGCTGAGCATCGGCCTATATCGACCCGTAGTCCTCGAAACCTGCTCAGCGTTCGTGATGATCACCACTGTGCGCAGCCGTGTTGCCGGTTATTGTACCGCTGCCTCTACATCCGTTCGCTGAATAATTGTTGACGAGTTTCTTCACACATGTCGATCGCAATCGCTAGATGTCGTCTTCTTGACCGAGACTTGGTACGACTCTGACTCGGTTTGAATCGCTCGTCTTCGCGCTAAAGGACTCGAGGTAGTCGAGCGCGCGCGGCCCCGTATGCATCCCAACACCTTAATTAACAACAAATTACGGTGGAGTGGCTACCGTCGACAGCGGGGGCATCCATCTTCCCGTTCTAAACATCGGCGCCCGGCCCACCACTTTTGAGCTGCGTTGTGCTGGGGTTACCAGTGCCTCGTTTACGTGCGTTGCAGCCACCATCTATCGACCTGGATCGGTTGCTGTGGCGCGCGATTTTTTCGTCGAATTGAGCAATGTCTTCATAAGGTGCTTTCAGACATTCTGCGCGCAGTAGACCGCGGCGACTTTGCGGCACTAGCTTTACTCGACGTGTCGGCCATGTTTGACAGGGTGCTGTTTAGTCTTGATACCGGGGGAGAGGGGGAGGATGGTAGGTATGTTTGCTGGCATGCGGAAATTTGCTAACACAGATTAAGGCGAATTTTCTGGCATGAGGTAGTCTGCTAACACAGATAAGGGCGAAGCCTCATGCCGTTTGGCTGCAGTTTTAAAAAACTTGAATCGGTCGTGGGGGCGTTTGGCAGCGCAGCTCGGTGACCGACGGCGCGCTGGCGTCGCCGGGGGATTGGGAGGGACTGGCGATACTGCGAACACGGGAGGAGAAGCAACGGGGGGTGCTGGCGATACTGCCAACACGGGAGAAGCAACGGGAGGGGCCGGTGATACTGCCAACACGGGAGAAGCAATGGGAGGGGCTGGTGATACTGCCAACACGGGAGAAGCAACGGGAGGGGCTGGTGATACTGCCAACATGAGAGAAGCAACGGGAGGGGCCGGTGATACTGCCAACACGGGAGAAGCAATGGGAGGGGCTGGTGATACTGCCAACACAGGAGAAGCAACGGGAGGGGNGCATTTGTGTTTCTGGTCTGCAACGAAGCTTTAGAAAATGAGCTCCAATACATTCATGGTGTCGAATCAAGCAAATACGGCGTTAAAAATTGTAACTATTTATACTAATCGAAGAGCGTTGGCACGTCCAACCGACGACGAAGTTTCCTCTGGGCGCGATTCTGAATCTTCCGCCTACATATGGAGGATCATCGCTCATAACAACGTGGGTGAGCTCGTTGGCGACTCCTGAACTGCTCGAGCCACTGAGACCTGGGACCTGTAGTTGCCCACCCTGAAAAAGTATACACTTCTTTGCTCCCGGAAATCTCAGCAATTCATCATTACACTGCCTATCAAATTATATATTGTCACCGGACGTTCACCGCAACTTTTAATCATGTCAAAATGTCTCGAGCCCTAAGGCCAAACGCCGGCAACTAACTTGTAAAATTACGATGACTGCCAGAAGTTGACCCTGTCATAATATAGACGCGGCTGTCGTTCGGGTTTCGGTTGCCGCCCTCGGATTAGAGATGAATCAGATGTGAAATGGCCGCCTCCCCTAATCAGCCGCCCAACAGGTGCTATTTTGGGTAGTTCGATGGTAATAAATATAAGGGTCAAATGACACACGAAATCAGTGGCTGGTCAGGCCACCATTGGCTTGCCCTGCCCTGCTCAGTAGCTGGCGTGAGTTCTTAGCGAGAGCGTGACAAGCCTCTGATTCAAAAACCCATATACGATGCAAGAGTAGGCGCACGAGTTTCTACACGCGTGGGTTTCACCACTCATGCATTGCGTGTACGAATAACTAATTTCATTGTTCTTTTCAAGCTTCATATGCCTATACGACTTCCCAGCCAAATATGGCGGCAAGACTCGAGCCCTTGAAAACTAAAGAAAGAACGGAATCTCTCAAGCAGCTTCTACCGTTCCACTATGAGACTCTGCGATACTGACGATTGAAAAACTGGCTTTTTCAGTCCGGACTGAGGCAGTCCGGACCATCGCGACTGGAGTGACGGGGAGTCAAGTGCTGTTCAATCTATTACTGGACTTGCTTGACGGGCAAGCGGCAGTGTCGCTGTGACTTTCGTTCAAGGAGATTGTGTGCTGGGCGGGTGCTCTAATAGACGCACCACAGCCTGCCTCTTTGCTTAACTGACCATGTCGCACGACGGAGACTGGAGCAGAGATGTCACTGAAAGGCTTATCGATTTATCCCTTTACGCCCTGGCGTGACGAATTCGTCACACAGAAAAAACATCGGTTTTCCAACAATTTCACGTTTTCTGTCATTTTTTTTCGAAAAATTCACAGGAATAAAAAAAGTCTTAGATTTATTTTTTACATATGTGTACCAAGTTTCAAAGTTATCTGTCGGTAAGTAACCGAAATAAAATTTCCAATTTCCAATGGCAATGTTCAATTTCTTAAGGAAATTCTATTTCGGTTAATTACTGACAGATAACTTTGAAACTTGGTACACATATGTAAAAGATAAATCTAAGACTTTTTTGATCGTGGGAATTTTTCCAAAAAAGTGAAAGAAAACGTGAAATTCTTAGAAAACTGACAAAAAGGGGGTACTGTAGAAATCTATCACCTCCTATGATTTTTGAGCTACAACATCGAGACGCATATCATTCGATGCGTAAAGACCATATCTATCGATTGGTCCTTGCTGTTTTTCAAAATTCTAATTTTTGTGGGTGGGGTGGGCATTTTTCGAAAAAATTGGTTTCTCCCTCCCCCCCTTTTGAATTTCCCCTCCCCTTTTTTCAAAATATTTTCAAAACTATAACGAAAATGAAAAAAAGCGAGTAGTGGAAACGCGCACGCCAGTTTTCGAGTCCAGCCATGTGGCTTATTGGTCTCAGGCCAATCTCAATCCTTCAGAATCAGTCCCGTAGTGGAAACACGCGTGCGTTGCGTTGCGTTGTCTTCGACCAGCATGCAGCGCGTTCGTGTCAAGACGCTTGCGTTACGTTTCAGTGAACACGCTTGCGTAAAGCTTGTGCAAACTCTCTTGCGATATGTGTACATGAACACGCGTGCATTGCTTGTAAGTCAAGATGCGTGTATTGCGTATTCACCAAAACACTAACGTTTCAGAGGCGGGGGTACCAAAACAATCCCCTCTATAGTCCCTACTAAGGAGTTTGAGATTAGTTATCAACTACCCGGCTTGAGATAAGCAGTGAAAGGTAGTTCGGAATTCGGATGCGGAGGCGCCGCTCTGAGCTGAAATTGAGCACTGGTTTACAGTGTTCGTCCCGTTCGGAAGTCGGTTGGTGCACGCATCTCATTCGAATTGTGTAATTTTATCGTATATAGTGAAGTCTACATCTTGCAAACAACTCAGTGTTAAAAACTGAATATTACATTTTTTGACATTTTCAGAAATACAAATTCCTTACTTTTGCTGTCCAGTGCTTTCTAAAGTGAAGTTCGTTGCAATACTTCTCGTCGGCAAGGGGCATTCATCATGACTACGCAATTGTGCGTTCAAGATTTTGGCAGCGGTAGAAATTTTCAACTTTTTTGCATAATCAACTACTAAACGTTAAGACGGTATGAATAGAAGTATATGAATTCGATGACACTGTTGACGGAAAGGGGTTCAAGCTCGATTCAACATCACCGATAATTCAGTATATGGAATGCATTCACAATTCACATTTTACTAATGGTTTCTGTGCCGAAAATGAGGTTTCATATAAATTAAGCAACAATTTTCCTCAATCATTCTGTGGTTGAATTACGTGTCTGGGAATTTGATCTTAAGTGATTTTTGGGTGGGGAAAATGGGTTCAATAATTGTTATTTTCAATTCAGCCAATACTATGTACCTAACTTTGACTTTTACTAATGATACCGAAAGTTTGATCGTCTTATTCATATATGTTGTTGTGAAAATCGTGTGGCGAAAAAATTCGGTATCTGTGCAAATAGTCTAGTTTCTGCAAGAAATTTTTAACGTACTCAGTAGGTACGAACCGGTTAAGAATGGTGGTTTTATTCAATAGGAATGATGGAGATAAATATTTTAAATTCAAATTTATGACGGCTACTGAGAAGCTGATAAATTAGTAAAAGTGAGTCGCAGGGGCGCTACTGTTGAGGTAATTAATATGTATAGCTGTAATCTTACTGAAATCAGCATTTCAATATTACAAGGTTACATTATATTGACGTCCAGTTGAGATAAATACTAACTTATTCCGAAGTTATTCGTTTACATATAATCGATTGGATCTGTAGACTAGAGGAATGAATCCTCGGTAATTGACGCTAAAAAGTATAACTGCCTTATATATAAAATTATTTGGCTTCATTAATCGTTGATCACGTTCATGAGGTGCACGTCGAAATAAGTAAAGCACCTCCTTGAAAAGCACATAATTGTTGAAAAAAAAAACAAAATTATTTTTATTTTCGATAAACATCGACTTGTGCACACTATTTTGTGGTGTTCAAGAAAAATTTAATTCGCTGTGAGTCTTCGACATAAACCAAATAAATGAGAAATTTGGTGTTCTCATACGAGCAACTTTACTGTTAACTGTGAGGGAAGATGAAGTTCAATATATTAAATTGTTCACATGCGACCTCGGTGCAAACTTTAAGAACAAAATGTTTAATTGTCTATTTCTTTGGCCGGAAGTTGGTTCAGTTTTTAGTTTTCTGTCTGATGCTGACATTTCCTGACTTTATTATTTATTGCAGGTCAAATGAGGCAAATGTTGTGGCAGGCAACAGCGCGCCATAACAGCGGGAGGCCTGCACTGGCCAGCACTGGTGTACTGGGTGCCAGTTATTATATTGTATTAATTATTTGTACCTTGCATTGCAATATCTTATGACTGGCATAGACTTTTGGTGGCGCACAGTGTTAGTGTAAGAAGACAGCTGATTCGAGCACACACATTATTCCATGGAAAAAAAATACGAAAATTTACATATTGGACATTCAGGATTCATTTTCACAATAGGGCCGTCTCTTCGTGTTTACTATTGCGTGTATAACTTAACTTTGAATTAGGAACGTACTTCTTCAAATTCCGATTTTGAATAATCATATTTTTCCAGTTTGTTATCTTACGTTAAAATCTTTGAGTTTGATGAGTGCATACAAAATTTACAGAAAGAGAATATCAGCAAATTGTCATCCATTTGCAAAAATAATAACTTCATATCGTTGATAATTCCGAACATGGTGTGCATTGATATGAAACAAAAAGGTTATCTTTCGATAATTTGGATTCATCTAAATAATGCAAACTTTGCTTTCACAGCAAATGCGGAACTCAGTATCTCCAAACCGGTGACGACTAGCTGGTTAATATTTATTAAGTTTAGTTTCCTAATTGATCTATGATAATAATCTTGCGGCAGCTTGACTGCTTAGAATGATAGATGTAATGGCATAATAGAGCCTTGTAAGGCGGGACTCTTACCAGCATCGGCTTAAGGACCACAGTGTCTTCTAACGTAAGCGTTCGATTATGCCACCACGAATTAACTTTGATTAACGCTGCTAATATATTGACGCTTCCAGTAAAAATTACATCGATTTCGAGAAGGAAATTAGCAGAGGTCATCTAATTTTCTGAATTCCCATGCAGTTTTTGCTGAATTCCTATTTTGAATTTGTATTTTCGCTACATCCTTACTGCTCGGACTGAGGATGAAGGGAGGTTATGAGATTAAATTTTCGCAACGGAAATTAACGAGTGTAAAGTTCAATCAGGACGACTTCAATTATATTCGATTATTCCGCCCACGACCACCGCCGAATCTCTACAAAGGAGAAATGAAAGTCGGATAAACAAGTATCTATTATATAACAAGAGACAACTACAACACTTATGACTAACGGAACAGCTCAACTAACAAACATTTTATAACAAGAACAAATAACTCAAATCAAAAGGCATACGGAATTGAGGATACACGTAACTATACAAGGAAACGATATGCTGAAGGCAATATGCTGAAGACACAATATACTGGAAGCAAGATGCAGATGACGCAATACGCTGAAGGCAC